ACCTGCGGGAGGTGCTATTAGTGCTTTCGCGTCATTCTATTCATTTATAAATTAGTGATAAAAATAGAATGTGATAGCGTTAACAGCATCCATATAGGTTTTTCGTTATTACAATAAATGTATATACTTAGAAACACAACTGTTTATCGAGCTTTTGCATTTTTTTTTTTTTATTATAAAAGAATATATCAATCGGGTATAAAAACTTGCTAAGAGCTCAGTCAGGCGGTAGGCTTTTTGATATACTTTGTGGTGGTGTTCAGCAATAACAACGATTGCACAATAAATGTGTAATTTCATGCAGCAAAGCAAAGCTAGCTTTTACCCTCTCTCCATCAATTTTCGCTGAAAGTTCGATATTGTCCAACAGTTAAAATGATACGCCATCTGTAATAGCGAAGTAACGCTTGAAAAGTGTTGCCGATGAAGTGAAAGAAAAATTATAAAAGATAGATATTTATTATACAATTTTAAATGTATCATAGCAAGTACACCGATTATGCGTCTCCTGATCTCTACTGCAACGATGATTGCTACTATATATCTATATTACTCCATGTATTCGATGTATTGACAATGACTATTATAATTTATTTTTAAGACAAAATAAGAAATTTAGTTTTTTTTTTTAATTACAATAACTTTCCAGCTACAGCACATTTGACACTACAAATGCTTTAAAGTCTTTATGCTACTTTGCATTGAGGTGGAGTAGGGATAAAACGCTAGCTTTTCTTTGCTCTATGAAAAGGAAGGAGGCGATAGCGATAGCTTTTCAACGCTGTTTTGCATTGAGATGGAGTGAGGGTAAAAACCAGCTTTGCTTCACTACATGAAATTGCACCTTTAAGGATACTGTCCCCACGAGAGTGAAACTAATATTATGGTGACTACGGTCCTTTTAGCGCTACCAAAACTTCGAAGCATTTGATTAACCAATCAAAACAAAGAATTCTATGAATTGACCAATCAAAAAATGTGAAGTATTTGTAGCATTAAGGGACTGCACCTGGTTTTCTGCAACACAGGAAAAACGGCGGCACTCGAAAGTGGGGGGTTGACGTAACCAATCAGAAAACGCCATGGCATTAGCATGACTTCTATTGCAGAAGTAACTTCCATTCCGATCGTTCCAGCAACTTTTATAAGTATTTTATGTAAAATTAAATAGTTGGTCAACCAATAATAATTAATTAATTTAATAAATAAAAGATACAACAAACTGATCTAATTTATCATATTTATTATATATTAATATTATTACTAATTTGTTTTC